ATGCAAGGGACCGGCCTACAATGAGTCACATCGTGGAGATTTTGAAGCAAGTGATAGACGATTCAGAACTTGAAACTTCAGAAGCCTCGGGTTGATAGCTTGCCATTTTAGAATCGTCACCACAGGTACCTGACAGAAAAAAGAAAAAAAAACCGAAACGAGGGTGATAACTGCAAGATAAATGACCCCGGCCCTATGGCTCGTGCAAGTTGATTAACATAAAATCTCGGATGCTCAGCTGATAACCAACACTTTTTTTCCTGAACTTTCTTGTTCTGTTGTTTCTATCTCTCGTTTTGTTTTTGGTCTTAGATGCTCAAGTGCTGAAGGCAAATGGGAAGCCTTAGCCTTTGTCATTCTGGAATTGAAGCTTGTAACTAATTAGGGCGACATCGAGGTTCGTTCTCATTTTTTTCTGTAATTTTTCTTTGTAAAAAAGAAGTAATGCAAGAATCAAGTGAATATAGCTTTTGTATTGTTTAGGCTAACTGTTGAACCACACCCTGTTTGTTTTGAATTAGAGATTATACATGAGACCTGTTATCTAAAGTCATGTGTTTATATGACTAGACAATGATGCCTTTGAAAGAATTGCATCTTTGATTTTTTTTCTCCTTTAAAAAGTAGAGAGAAAGTGAAATATCGGTTTGTTGAATGAGAATACAATTGCTAGGCTTATATGACTAGACAATGATGCCTTTGAAAGAATTGCATCTTTGATTTCCCTCCTTTAAAGTAGAGAGAGTGAAATATCGATTTGTTGAATGAGAATACAATTGTTGGACAGCAGCTTGGAGAGACGAGTTTAGTATATTGCCATCAAAACGTGAGGCTGATTGTTAATACATATAAGAAAATAAAGTTGTGTATTCACTATAGTTTTTGGCATAGTGTTAAACGTTTGATGTTACAATTGGTATTATAAGAAATTATGGATGCACTTATTAGTAATCACTTGATAATGACAATAATGCTATCCTAGGTTGGACTTTTGGTCTTTGTTGTGTATGAAAGATTGTTAAAATATCTTTTAATGGAAAAAAGGGGCAAAGTAGAATGGGAAATGTTTGGTGGAATCCAAAAGGAAGAATATCTAATTTATTTTGAATCACTATTGGCATCCACTAAGGCACCCTTTTTACTTTGACAAAAAAGTTATATATAGCCAATTTAGTCCTTACACTTCACCGTATGCAACTTTCTAAAGCCCTCTTCTTCCTCAAAGAACTCTCTAGGAATATACTCTACATAAGATCTTCAATGTATCTACATGTACAACAATAATAAAATGTTGAAACTTTAATTTAATTTAGTTACCAGGACTATGTGGTCTAATGGTATCCGGGTTGGACTTCCATTTGGAAAATTATGAGTTCGAGTCTCATGAACAGATACTACAATGTAATAAAGCCAGTAACTTTCCAAAAAAAAAAAAATTTAATTTAGTTTTTTTCCTAACTTGTATAGTAAGATTCAATAATTAGTTAAATAAGACATTTTAATTTCATTATACTCATCACTCATTAACAAGCTAATGTCTATGACAATATGATGACTTAGTGTAGAGGGCTTTCGCTTTATGAATTCTTCTCGATTCTTACCAGTGTTGCGAAACTCGCTAGGCGTCCATCGGGGGCTGGATGAGCACCTAGGCGAGCACCTAATTTAAAAAAAAAAACATTTAAAAGTTTTCGAAAGGTAAATTAGATTTAAAAATAAAATTAAATCAATTGATATTGAACTGTTAGAGTTAATTTTACCGGAGGTCCCTTGTTTTTAGTGGCAATTCCAAATTTAACCCTACACTATCGTTTTTGCCATTTTACATCCCAGATTATCATTTTTTGGACACTTTTAGTCGTTCTCATGATTTTTTTTTTCTACTTTTAGTAAAGGCATTTTTGTCTCTTCATATTTTTCTTTTGTTATTTTTCCGGTTTCAACCAGTTTAATTGGTTTACGACTTTACTAAAAATTGGTTGAAAAATATGGTTACTAAAAATCAGAGGTTACCTAAAGTTCTAAACCAATTAAACTGGTTGAAACCGGAAAAATAACAAAAGAAAAATATGAAGAGACAAAAATGTCATTACTAAAAATAGAAAAAATCATGAGAATGACTAAAAGTGTCCAAAAAACGATAGTATGAATATCCAGATTAGTTTTCTTATACGAACGAGAGGTGGTTCAAACCTTCGACCTTTCTTATGGGACAAGACAAGAGTGTACGATCACTCACACCAACTAAGCTGATTTAACTACTTCTCATTAAATTTAATTGAAATATGTCTTTGATTTTTCAAAAAGAAGATCATAAGTTTAAGTTTCATTTCAATTCAAGCGTCAGCATAGAGTAAATACCGGTGGACGTCCTCTGACTTTGGTGGCACTGTCATTTTTAGTCCTCAACTTTTAAATTAATCATTTCCAGTCCTCTTACTTTTTGTTTTTAACCATCTATGGTCCTTTCGTTACACTTAGCCATTTAATGCCGTTTTCTCAAGGGGAATTCGGTCCTTTCATAATTAATATATTAAGTATTTTTTTAAAAGAAATTCCGCGCATTGCATTCCTTAAATGCCTAATTTTTAGCTAATTTTAATTTCAAGAGCAGATTTTTCCTAATTATTGAAGAAAAGTAAATCGAAACTCTGATCCGGGATGGAATTGAGACTCCTTTGAGGATTTGGCAAGGCAAAATTTTAAACTCCGGAGTTTTGATCGCCGAAAACTAAATGCCCTAATTTAGCATGCAAGGTTAGGCAGTGCCATCGACATTGATGGATATATGGATCTTCGGAGCTTTCTGTTCTGCAATGTGGAGGAGGGTGGAAGAGAGGAGATAGTAGAATCATCAATGAAAAAGAAAGGGAATTACAGAATAAAACATTTACTTCAACCTAGTGGTATTTTTGTAAGTAAATTCATTTACTTTTTTTTTTTTTGGTCATTTTTGTCATTTCATTTAAGAGTAAGCTGACTACGCGAGAGTATAAGCGGCGACGAATTCAATGAAGGGTGAATTTGTAGTTGCGATATGGGAGTGAAGCAACGTCATATCCTTTTCCCCTTGTGATTTGCTGTAGAGGCTGAACTGTCTGGAGGAGGCGATGATGATAGAGAGAGCATCAATGAAGATCGGTGGCTGAAATGCTTCTTCACGGCAGAAAATTCTCAGTGAGAAATGAAGAGAGGGAGGCAGCTTGTCAATAATATTAATGTTTCTCATACGAGCTTCTGTACAATAATAATAAAAATAGTGTTTTGTTCAGTTATAATGTAGGCCAAAAATTGTGGATGTAATGTCATGGAATCAAATATTTTGCCCCCTTAAGGAATAAAAAATGTATATCAATGTTCATATATGTTGTATGCATATCACTGTTTTTTGTGTGTTAGAACTTGATTCAGCTTGTGACTTCCTACTATAAGAATGCTTATATTGTATTACATTTACGGTAAATGTGTTGTTTGTGGAGATGAAAGAGAAGATATAGTTTCATGGTTTAGGTAAATGTTTTGTGCTTCTGTTGGACTTAGAATAGTTTTGGGATTCACATAATTAGTTTGTGAGTTGTATTATCTAAGGCAACAGAATTGGTTTCTAAAGTAGCAATGACTCATTTATCCTATCAACTGAAAGGGCGAAATTGGTTTCCGTAATACTTCATACATTAATTTCTTCAAAAAAAAAAATACTTAATGCATTAATTATGAAAGAACCAAATTGCTCTTGAGAAAACGACATTAAACGACCAAGTGTAACGGAAGGACCATAGATGATTATAAACAAAAAGTAAGAGGATTGGTAGTGGTTGATTTAAAAGTTGAGGATTAAAAGTGGCAGTGCCACCAAAGTCGGAGGACGTTCGCTGATATTTACCCCGTCAGCATATTAGCTATTTAGTTGTGGCACAGCTACTATAGAAATTTGAGTACTTAACAAGGGAAAATGACACTTTTCCCCCATCTGTTATATACTTATAACACTTTTTTCCCCCTGAATTATTTAAGTGACAGTTTTTCTCCTGATATGTTAAATGGACATATTTACCCATAAAATAAATATTTCATTTATTTTTCTTCTCCAACAAATTATAACCATGATTTGGTTCAATCCGAATAAACACTATAGCAACCAAACAGAGAGGTTATGATGACAATTTAGAACCGGAACCCGATATCTAGAGTTTATTAAAATCGCGAACCGAAACTGTCAGTTCATGTTCTGAATTGAAAAAATAAAATGCATTAGTTGTTGAATTTAGAATATTTTAAAAATAAAAAAATAAAATTTTAAAAGAAAGTTTGAACCAGCTGTTCAAATTGGATCTGAAACCGTGAATTGACGGATCAAAATCAAAACCAAATTGCGGTTATATATACTTACATGTGAGAATTAGAATAAATGCGAAAAAGAATATACACTATTTGCAAATATTATAATTCTAGTTTTAAGCTAATGCTAGTAGTTGTTCTGATTTGAACCTTTGGTTCACGGTTCAGGATCCATCTTTTTCAGTTCACGATTTTAATAAACAGAAACCAAAATATTGGGTTATGGCTCTGAATCATAACAAAAAATGTCGATTTGATTGCTATAGTGTCCGGTTCAATTTGAATCGAACCGTGGTCATCCATACGTATAAGGGATACTTTGTTGAAGAAGATAAATAAATAAAATATTTATTTTAAAGGTAAAAATCTCCATTTAATAATCAGGAAAAAAACCGCCACTTTTATAATAATTGAGGGGCAAATGTGAATGCATGAATAATTCAAAGGAAAAAAGTGTTATAAGCATATAACTCAGGAAAAAAATGTGTCATTTTCCCTACTTAACAATTAATTTTAATTTCCTAAAAAAAAACAATTAATTTTACTTCCTCAAAAAAAAAAAAAAAACAATTAATTTTACTTCATCAAAAAAAAAAATTTTATTTTTACTATTTTACCCTCCAGTATTTATTCATTGGGTGGTCACAAACTCACAAACGAAAAAGTGAAAAACCGCTGTCAACTGCTTCCGTAGTTCCATACATTGCATCTTGGTTAAACCCTCGTAGCTCGCACTCTCAAACTGATGCAGAAGAGCGGCTTCACTCTTCTACAAACAGTCGCCACTGCCGGCGTCTTCTCCGCCGTGTCTTTCTGGTTAGTTCCATTTTTGATTTTGTATTGCAATATGTGAATCTAGGGCCTGTGGCTGTGGCTATGGAGTTCATTGAAAATTGGCCCGCTTCTGTTTGGATCTTTACAGGTATGGATTTATGTTCGGCAGAGAGTCTTCTCGCAAGGAGCTCCAAGGCCTGATCGAAACTCTTCGCCAGAGCAATTGCGATTCCGATTCTTCACATCCTCCACATTCCTGACCTCGGTAACTGCTCTTTCACTTCTCGGTTTGTATATATATTAGCTCAAACTAGTCTTCGGTTTTGGTTAAATATTACTTCTTGTGTTTACTATCCATTTATTTTAGTATTTATTAAACTCGATTTTTTTTCGTGTTTAATAGAATTTAATGTAGTTTCTAAATATATAAATTTTATACTAATAGTAAATTTAATATTATGAAAAATTTGTATTAAAAATAACTTCATTTAAATCACATTAATTGAATCAGACACATAAAATGGGAGAGATGAATGAATTACTATATTAGGGAGTAATTCTTTTGAAACTTTTGGTGTTGATACACTTCTTTGTGGGGGTTTATATATGTATGCCTATCAGTGTTGGATATAAATTCAAACAGATGATTAGAATTTTAGAATGAAATTGGAAATAACAAAATAATTTTAACAAATTATAGACTTCAAAGACAGCTGAGATGGAGGTGTTCTTGTTATTGCTGAGAGATTGTGATACATGGGGGTGTCTTTAAAAATGTTTTGTATTTGTCTAACCATTTCTGTAGGGTACTTTTACCCTAATCATTTTTATTCCTTTTTCTTTTTGCTTTGGTACCATGATCCCCAATATCACAGAACCACATTGGGCTTTGGCTAAACTTGAATCAAGTTGCTGTTGGACCCCGTTTCGGGGTGCTCACCTAACATCTTTTGCTCTATTCACAAGGTTCAAACGCGAAAGGGTTCTCTCCATAAACAGCAAAGTAGTCTAGTTGCAAGTCTAAATCCCAATCAAGACAATTTTCAAGCATCTTTCTGGATAATGTTCCTTGAAAACGTATGATTTATGACACTTGAGGATTTTCATTGTGGAAGCTCTGGGTTCAAAATGTGATTTGGTGACCGTGTTTTTAAGTGTTTTGTACTTGAATCTTACATGCTTCGTGTGTAATGGACTAATGGTGGAGTTATAAACACCGGGAAATTTTATTCATGTTGATACACTAGTTGCGTCTTGAAGATTAGGAAAGACAAAGGCAGTAGTACTAGATTGTTTACATGATTCAACCATTTTCTCGGCAATTTATATCCCACACCACGGTGCGCGTTGCATTGTGTGCCACGACATCGTTTCAATTTTTATTTTTTTTTCGAAATTTCGCTACTCAGTGTTTGGCAGTTAATTTTCCTTAAAAAAAATCGATTTCTTGTTCAAAAATGTACATAATGTTATACTAGAATACACATAATTGTATACATGAATGTATATAATTATATAACAAAATACACATACTCTCTTTTAAAAGATAATACACATAATCTAACATAATACATAATAAACATAAACTTTTAACATAATATACATCAACTCTTAACATAATACACAAAAATTTCTTAATTCGGATGTACATAATTGTATAAAAAAATGTACATAATTGTATACAAAATGTACATAATAAAAAATATGCATAATTGTATAAATAAATATACATAATCATGTCAACTTCCTACTATGCCTCCCAAAACGACGTTGTTTTGAGAGGCATTGTGTGCCGTGGTGCAAGGTATAACGATTGCATTTTCTCTGGCCATTGTTTTCAAGCGTGTGCCCCTTTCCATTGTCCCAAATTTGAATAGAGCGAAGTTTTATAATCTAACGAGCAAATCACAAACTTGGGGGAATAGCAAATAGGGGATGGCAATTTCAATCCACTATACGAATATCCATCCCACATGGATTAGTCTTTTTTGAGTGATAGTGGATGGTGAGTCTTAAAAAATTAAACCTGTGGTGGGTAAGGTTAGGTTTGAATTTTTTGTACAAAATTCGCCTAGAATCCCACTTGACCCATCGTGTGTGTGTGTGTGTGTGTGTGTATATATATATATATATATATATATATATATATATATATATAGTAAAATAAGTACTAGTATGTAGTTTAATTATAAAAGTTTCTAAAACTTTTACTAACATTTTACTATTTTTAGTTCTAAACTAACAAGTTTATTTTAAAAAAATTAACAATTTAGTGATTATATTTGAATATATCTATTATTTTATGTTTTTATATAACTAGTGAATTTTATTATTTTATTAAATAATTTAATTTTTTTTTAATTTTTTAATAAGATAATAAGTGATAGGTACCCATAGTGAGCACCCGCACGCACTGGGGTGGGGGTGGGGTTGGGTTTTGAACAATTTCACCCGATGCAGGTTGACTGGTTGAGCAATCGTTATGCTCTGGACTCGTGTCTAGCATGCATGCTGCTTGTGTCTAGCATGCATGCTGGACACGGCTAACAGTAAAGTGTTATCCTTTAGGAGTATATGTTCATAATTTTATTACTATATGTTCATAATTGTAAGTTCATAATGTCAGAGCTCTATGTTCATCATTCAATAACTGTATATTCATACTTCCATAACTGTACATTCATAATTCAATAACTGTAACTTTATAATTTTTGAAGCTCTATGTTCACAATTTTAGAGCTCTATGTTCATAATTTTATCACTATGTGTTCATATTGTAAGTTCATAATGTCAAGCTCTGTGTTCATAATTCCATAATTGTATATTCATAATTGCATAACTGTACATTCATAATTCCGTAACTGTACATTCATAATTCAATAACTGTAAAATCATAATTTTCGAAGCTCCATGTTCACAATTTTAGAGCTCTATGTTTATAATTGTAAGTTAATAATGTCAGAATTCTGTATTTATAATTTTATAACTTACATTCATAATGACACAAACGAATAACGCCGTTAACGGCGAGACAAAATCAAAATTTTTTTTTTTCAAAAACTAGAATGACGCGTTTTTTCTTAAAAACGACGTCGTTTTTGACTCGTGTCCACAATGCATTGTGGACACGGGTCCAGGACATAATTTGCCTCTGGTTGAGGGCGCAAGTGGATGGAAAAAATATAAAGTGGATTGGGTGATGGATATAGCCATCCCCAACCCATTCCCATCCCTGTCAACAAATAGGACTCTCTTTAATCCTGGATTTGGTTTGATTGGGGAGAGACTACGAAGGGATTTGGACAAGTCCCCCAACAAATCATAGGACCAATCCCTTACCATCCACCGGATATTGCAACGTCAACATCCTGTGGTAAATTATTTGTCAATCCAGTAATTACACACCTATTCTTAAATAACATGAACCTAATTGAAACCAACAATCCATTGATATCCAAAATACTTCTCTAGATTACATGTCATGTAAAGTTTAGTGATAAACCATGAGTTCCAACAATGTTTACTGAAAAGATAAAGCCCCAACACCTTTCCTTGAAATACATATTCTTACAAGTGTTTGATAAATCTGGATGTAAATTATGTATGTTTTCACACGGTATAAAATATGATTACCTTATATTCAACATTCAGCCACTGGGAAAGCAGATCCAATTTTGTCTCCCAGGTGATAGCACTTGATATTGACAGAGTATGGACCAAGCTCAACATGGTTCTCCTGCCCTCCCGCAAAGAAACACAGAGTATAGATGGCGAGTTCAAACTCCGGGCTCACTCCAACCAAAGTGCTTGATACAGATTTCAGTACACCGTTCCATTCAAACTGAATTGTGAGCAACTGAGTCTCCGAGTCAGGCTGTAATTGGAGATGGGAAAAGAAAAAAAAATGTAAGGACCTGAATAATGTACATTAAGACGTATAAAAAGATAAAACTGGCTATAAAACATCTCTTGCTCTGCAGCTTCATTTTCTTGAAGCAAGAACCTATATATTTCCAAGTAATAATTGGACGCTGTAACTGAATCAAAAGGTGAGGTGCATTGAGAGCATAGAGTCCAACTCTTAGGTAGAGTATATTTTGAGTGACGAAAGAAACCTACAGCTACTACCTAATGGCGTGCACTGGGATCACTGGGTAAATCGTGATTCTAGTCGGCAAAGAACCATAAGGAGGTAAACCAACCTAGGTTGTCCATAGTTGCCCGCTCAAACCAAGAAGACCAATAAGCCTCTCCCACTCTGAGTTGAACTAGTAACCTCCTAACGGTTTATCCAATTTATTTTAGTTCCTGTGATCTAATAATATGGAATGGCTATGCTATGGCTTTTAATTTTACTTTCATTAATTAAAACTGAAGAAGTTTGAAGTTCAGATAAGGAGGTGAAATGTCATATAAAGAGACATGGAAAGGATTTAGGAAATTTACTTTCAGATTTTAAAATCACAATCTTGCATATCAAAAAGAAAGAAACAAGATCACTTACAATTTCACCCCGCCTTCGAGGAAAGATGTATCCTTGATAGTCTACATTGCCCTTTGCTTCCTCTAAATAGAACTGCAAAGAACAAAAAGCAAGTGGAGCCTTATTAACTCTGTATGAACAAGATTGAAATTGTCCAGAAAGAGGTTGGATTACCATAAAAGGTGAAAATTGTTACTTTAGTTAGCTTAATAATGGAACAATTTTACCTGAAGCCAATTATGGAAACCTGAAACTTCTTCCTCTCCGCGCTGTTTGATTTCTCCAACAAAAACATGTTCAAAAGCAGAAGAAGAACCAGATGTACCACCACGGCCATAAAGGTCAAACCAGAGACTTTTCAGCATTCTCTTGAACTCCTGATAGTTTTCAGAAACCATACGCTTTGCTGACAGATACTTATGGAGATATTTTATAGGTGCAGTTCTACTGATCTCCTCTATGAACGCCAACTGCTCTTGCTGTTCTTGAGCTGTTACATTTTCTTTATATCCCTCACGCGGATTATAATTATCTAAAAGAGCACAGAAGCGAGAATAAGTAGGCTTCTGCAGAACATCTTCACTCAGCCAGGAAAACAAGTTTCCCTCTGCCATATCGTCCTTTTGGTACACCTTTTTCCCTTCCCCAACATCAATCTCGTAATGCCTTCCTGGTACCAAGCGGTTTAAGTCAAGTTCCCAGAGTTTGTTACAAGCTTTTGATAGGTCTTCAAGCTCTTCTCCTGAGGGCTCCAGGTCAACACCACATTCTACCTCATTAGAGTAGTCTTGCTCATCAGCAGGTTTCTTGTAATTGTCCCAGTGATCCATATGCACCTGTTTAGGAATATTGAAGCTTAATGAGTTTTTAGAATTAAATGGAATTATACACCATAGATTTATTCATTGCAATAACACGTACCAACACCTGAACAGAAGCTAACCACTAACAATTAAGAATTAAAGATTTGTTCCTTATTCTTATTTTTGTGTATATCTTTCAGTCCAAAAATCTATGTAGCTAAAATAGATTGATCAAGTAATTCAGAATGGGAAGCACTCGGGTCTAATATAAGTGACTTAAACGAGAAGATGATAAAAAACCTTTTGCTGTCGCTTTGGATGTTTTTTTTGGACAGTTTCCCAGCCATCACTACTTTCTTGCTCAACCTGCACAGATTCCATTCAAACATCATTAAACCATTGCTGATTATAACCACAATAAATATGACTACAGAACAGGAAAACCTTTTCATTCCCATGGCTTTGGCCATAATCCTCCTGTCTACTGTATCCATATCTTTCACTGTGCTGGCCATAACCCTCCTGACGATTGCCTTCATATCTTTGACGGTTCTGACCGTAATCATTCTGCACTTGATAATTCCCTAGGAATGTAATGCATCCAAAAACAGAAAACTACTGTTGGAGTGGAGGCTAGTACTGGGCCAAGTCCAGCAATTGGTGACTAGGTGGATTGTTGGGTGGAGGATGAAGGGCAAGTCCAACATCTGCCTCTCAAAAATGTGATGGAGGTCTATAAGGAAATAAAATTGCGCCTTCGCTACAAGTTATAGCTTTTGGCTGATTCGAGTCCCAACAAGGACAAGACTGGCAGGACAGAGGCCGGTATCAGGCCAAGTCAAGTAATTGGTTATTCACCATTTACAATCTAATTATTTCATGCAATCTGAGATTATGCTACACACACATTACATGTGAACTGCATCTATGATCTATGGATGAATTATCGAATTTGTAGATTTCAAGTCATGAAACAATTAGCAGATCATACATCTCAACATCAGTTGGGCTTATAAAAAAAATACTCTGATCACTGCATTTACTAGCGAGATCAAAGCTCGACACAAAATGAAGACTGAATTATGTGACGAATACCTCTCCTCTTTGATATCCTTGCCTACGATCACTGCTAACCTCGTCGTTATCCTGTTCCCCCGACACCACCTGCGCAAAATTAGCATCCATAAGCGAACAACGGAAAAATAACAGAGTGAAACGAGAGGGAATCGGAATCAGAAACAGGGAGATCAGCTCTAACCTCCGCCCAAGTGGATCTGGACCGTTCACCGCGAGTCTCTGCGTTTCTACGATCGTCGTTTCTATCGTCTTCGCCGTCGCCAAAGGCTACATTAATCAAACCCTTCACCAAACCCTCCATTGCTCTCTCTGTCTCTCTCTGTTTCTCTCTCTCTATATGTATACGTGTATGTAGATAAGATATTTTAGATCGAGGGAGAAGACAGTGAAGGTATACGAAAGTAGTAGTGAAGCAATGAATGCAAATAATGGGGCGTTGAAAGCGGATTCGAATCGAGATGCAATAATACAAGGTCGGTAATGACAGTTGAATCTAATAAATAAAATAATGATTTTCTACCCATTTTCTTATATTTTTTCAAATATCACACTATCACAGTGACACACAATAAAATAAATGTTGCTCGCACTAGTTTAGCACAATGATTCAGTAGACCGTATTTGGTAGAAGAGATCAAGGTTTAAATCTTAGAGCGGCGGTGTGAGGATTATACTCAAAGTGAGTAGATCTCTTGTGCCGACATTTGGACTTATCTGTTGTGCTATTGAGTCCCCGTGATTTACATTCTCCCAAGTCCCAAATGTTCTGCCGAGTCAGGTGTGGAGGCCCTTGGGATTAGGCATTAACCTTTTGGGGGAAGAATAAAATAAATGTCCAATAAAAAAATAAAATTATAAAAAACAATATAAATATTCAATATATCAAGAAGAAATGTAAAATCATAAAAAAAATTATAAATGTATATAAGAAAATAAATATAATGTCTAAATTATTACATTTAATAGTGTTATTTAAAGCATTAACAACTTAGATTATTAAAAGAAAATTGAAGAAAAATATATTTGAAAAATAATTTGTGAGTGTACAAGTAAATAATTAAATAAGTACAATTTATATACAAGTTATTATCGCAATTGATTATATATATAAATTTCATTACTATTTTATCACCCTCTATTTCCATGTTGTCACCCTTAAAGTTTTATTTATTAAAAAAAAACTATATTTAATCACTACAAATCTACAATACACTATCGGGTTACTATTATGTTGAGTTAATTTCATTTTTGGTCCTAAATTTATAGGTGGTAATCCATTTTTATTCTTTTTTTTTTTTTTTAATCAGAAATCTATTTTTTGTTCTAATATTATTATGACATGACCAATTTTGCTCATTTATAAAAAAAAATCATTGAACTTTCGTTAAATATAAGGGCATTTCGTTCTTCAATTATGATTTATTTCAAAAAAATAAACATAAAAAATATAACGGGTCAACACACTTTGTATTAAAAAGATCAAAATGTCCTTCAATTTAAAGAAATTTCAACGATTTTGTTGATAGAGGACCAAAGTTGGTCATGTCACAATAATACTAAGACCAAAAATAAATATTTTGATAAAAAAAAAGACAAAAAATGGACAGTCACCTATAAATCTAGAACAAAAAAAAAAAGAATTAACTCCTATTATGTTTATTATTTTATTTAAATATTTGCTAAATCTATAATTCTATCTTTTACTATATTGGTGAAAGTATTGATTGCTTAATGTATTTACTAAATTGTAATGATTTCTCAAAGACGTTTCTGAATGCTCTCGCACTGGCCTTTATAAGGTAACTTTTGCGCGATCCACTTTTCCCGGTGTTTCCTTCTGCATGCAAAGTCCGGCGGATACACCGCCGGCATCTGGCACCCCGCCGGATGGCATGACTGGAAGGTCCTTTAAGAAGTTCCGAGCAACGAAGCGCTCCTTCGCGGATGCATTAGCGTCTACGGCTCGGCTCGACGACGATAACAGGATGGATGAAATGATGGAGTCGGACAACACCGGCTGGTTCAAGGACGACGTTGTGGTTGACTCCGACGATGAAGAAACAATCGATAACCCCCTAGGACTTCCAGTGGTTAAGTTTTCGAAAGAGGTCCGAAAGGATTTGGTGGAGCCATGGAAGAATGCTCTAACTCTAAAATTTTTGGGTAAGCGTATCTGTTTCAGTCTGCTTCTGAATAGGCTGTCCAGGATGTGGAATCTCGAAGGGAAGTTCGAGTTGATCGATCTCGGACATAACTGGTACGTCGCACGGTTCGGATTGGCCAAGGATTGTATGAGAGTCCTTACAGATGGTCCATGGAAGGTGTTCGATCACTACGTGGTTCCCCAACGATGGACTCCGCGTTTCAATCCGGCGAAAGCCGCCGTCGAAAAAATGACAGTCTGGGCGCGGCTCCCGGACCTCCCGGTCGAATACTTTCGGGATGACGCCGTTAAACAGATTCTTGAGAATGTGGGCACTCCGGTGAAACTAGACAGGATGACGTTAGGGGTGGAGAAGGGTCGTTTCGCGCGGGCTGCCGTGGAAATCGATCTGAAGAAACCGTTAGCGTCAATGATCATAGTCGACAACGAAGTTCAGTGTGTCGAATTTGAGGGACTCCACACCATATGTTTTGAGTGTGGTGAAGTGGGGCACCGTTCTTCCGACTGTCCTAAGCGAGTTCCGGCAGCTCCCGTCCAACCTACTCAAGGTGAAAATACACAGACCACTCCCGTCCAACCTACTCAAGGTGAAAATACACAGACACAAGAGATGGAAGGGGTGGAAACTATCACTGTTGCTAAACCAATGGAGAGGACCCGTTATGGGCATTGGATGATTGCACAGAAGAAGAATAATAAGCCGACTAATCAGAATAAGCGGATGACGGAAAAAGCTCCGCAGAAGGGAAAGAAGGTGGATAAGTCTGCCAACATGTTTGCGGCTCTTCAACAATGCCCAGAAGAATCGGTTGGTGGCGGTGAGGTCCCAGCGGCAAAGACCGGAAAGGACAAAAACAAAGGAAAAAATCAGAAAAATCCTGGTAGGTCTACTGCTCCCTTGGACTTAACAGCTTCTGATCTCAATTTTGTTCTACAGGGCCAGACGGGTAGACCTCCGCCAATCCCACGAACAGAACCCTCCAACAATTCCAATGGTCAGAAAGTGGCTAAAGGTAAAAACAAGAAAGTGGCATCCTTTTCTATGCGGCAGCAGGAAATTGATAATCCCGCCGCTACATTAGGGACGGACAATGCTACGGGTTTGGGCACTTTCATATTTGGGCGCCTCCCCGCCAATCCTGGACATACCATGGATTTGAATTGCGCTCCAGAGGAAAGCGGTAATCCTGTTTCCTCCCCCCCTAACCGTTCCCAATGAATTTAATTTCTTGGAATTGTAGGGGGGTGAGAAGTGGGGGCACGAGACGGCATGCTAGGGAAATCCTAAAATAGCCTGAGGTGGGTGCCGTTTGTTTTCTTGAAACGAAAACCAAGGCGGCCGATGGTTTGTTAAAGATGGCGGACAAGTTGGGGTTCAGTTCATCGTTCATGGTTGACTCCATTGGCTTTGCCGGGGGTCTTCTGCTCGTTTGGAATAAGGAGCGTGTTCCTCTCTCGGTGGTGGGTCACAACTCACAAACCATTCATGCTTTGGTCAACCGGTGGGATGGTAAGCGTATTCGTTTTTCCTTTGCTTATGTACGGCCCAATCTTAGGGCAAAAGAAGTTTTCTGGAATGAGTGCAGGTCTTATTCGAGCTCCTTTCAAGACCCTTGGATCATGCTGGGCGACTTTAATGACATCACGGGGCATTCTGACCAGTGGGGCAGTGGTGATATTGTCTCCAGCGCGGTTGACAGGTTCCTTGAGGCCAGCAATGACTGCGGATTGATGGATTTAGGCACCGCCGGTCTCAGGTTTTCTTGGTACAGGAAAGTTGGTGATAGAATCACTCTAAGAAGAAAACTCGACAGAGTGTTTTGGAACATGGATGCCCAACTCCTCTTCCCGGAAGGAAAAGCTCACATCCTTCCTTGTACCCACTCTGATCATCACCCTATCCAGTTCGCCAGTAATGCCGGATCCCCTCCCGACAGAAGGGAAAGACCTTTCAGGTTTGAAGCGGCCTGGCTTTTAAGAGATGATTACCGGAACGTTTGGCACCAGGCTTGGAGGGCCCATCCAGGTGACATCTCAGGGGCAATCGACAAGGTGGGGAAGCTGTCCAAAGATTGGAACCATAAAACCTTTGGGAATATTTTTCATAGGAAAAAGAATTTGCAAGCCCGCATTGCGGGGATCCAATCTTCTCCAAATTATGGTTTCGACAGGGGGTTGGTTAATCTTGAATCGAGATTGCGTGACGACCTCAATAACATTCTCAAACAAGAAGAGATTTTTTTGGTTCCAAAAATCCCGGAAAGATTGGATTAGAGATGGTGACAGGAACACTACTTTTTATCATCGGGCCACTTTAATTAGGAGGAACCGAGCTCGCGTAACCATGCTGAAAATTAACAGTGAGTGGACTTCTAATCCCTTAATTATTAAAGATCACATCACTAATTATTTTAAATTGCTTTTTGGCAGGAACCAAAGAGAGGATAGAATGGTGCTAAATTTGCCTAGTGACCGGGCCATCACTAATACACAGGCCCAGAGTCTTATCCGTTTAGCCACTTGGAATGAAGTCCGATCTGCCGTGTTCAGCATGAAGCGGTTCGGGAGTCCGGGGCCCGACGGGATCCAAGCGGCCTTTTACCAACAGTACTGGGACATGGTGGGTGAGTCGGTCACTGACTTCGTTAATCAGTGTCTTGTTTCAGGTACCGTGCCAACAGGGATGCTTGAAGCCTACATGAACCTCATTCCGAAAAAAGACAGACCGGAAAACGCGGGGGACTTTAGGCCTATTACCCTCTTGAACGTGATTTTCAAGATCGTTTCTAAGGTTCTGGTTAATCGGCTAAGACCCATCATGCGAAGAATAGTTGGCCCTTTCCAGAACAGTTTCCTGCCAGGCCGGTCTACCCTCGACAATGTCGTTTTGACTCAAGAGGTGGTCCATAGTATGGAGAGAAAAAAGGGTAATAAAGGCTTCATGATCCTCAAACTTGACATCCATAAGGCGTATGACAGCCTGGATTGGGGTTTCTTAGAGTCTGTGCTCACGATAATGAACTTGCCCGGAAGATTGATCTCACTCATCCTCTTCGCCCTCAAAGAGAGCACCATTGCCATTAATTGGAATGGTGGTAAACTGCCCGCTTTCGGGGTGGGCAGAGGAGTGAGACAAGGAGACCCCTTGGCTCCATATCTCTTCATTCTTGTCATGGAAATCCTTTCCTGGGCAATTCAAGAAGAAGTCAGGAAAGGCTCTTGGAAAACCTTCAAAGTGGCACGTGGGGGTACAGGTATATCTCATTTGTTCTTCGCAGATGACCTGGTTCTTTTTGGCGAGGCTTCAGTTCAACAGCTGAAAGTCATTCTTTCTGTGGTGGAGAATTTCTCTAAAATGTCAGGTTTGTCTATTAATTTTAATAAGTCCATTATTTATTGCTCTCCTAACACTTGTGACAGGATAAAACGTCAACTCGGAGAGGTGGCGGGTATTCCTGTTTCCGGCAACATGGGGAAGTACTTGGGCATTCCGGTTCTTCATAAAAGAGTCTCAAACGACACTTTTGGATACATTTTAGAGAAGATGAAACAAAAGCTGGCAGGTTGGGAACGAGAATCCTTAAGCCTAGGGGGACGTCGCGTCCTCACTCAATCGGCCCTAGCGTCAATTCCAGTCTACACGATGCAAGCTTTGGCCCTCCCTAAAAGCACTTGTGACAATATTGATAAAATCTGTCGCGATTTTTTATGGGGTGATTCACATGACAAGAAAAAGATTCATCTGGTTAACTGGGACAAGGTGTGCCAACCTCGTGAAAATGGGGGTCTTGGGCTTCGGAAAGCCACTCAGTTTAATGACGCGCTACTAGCCAAACTCGCATGGAATATGTGTTCTAATTCTGACAAGCTCTGGACACAAGTGATGAAGGAAAAGTATGTTAAGAACGAGGATTTTTTCTCAGCTCCAGTTCCAAGTTACGGTTCGTGGGCTTGGAGGAGCATAACGAGAGGACGGGCCACGATCATTTCTAACGCCAATTGGAGAGTCGGCGATGGACGATCTATTAACTTCTGGAAGGATTGGTGGGTGGGAAGCAAACCTCTTGGTCTTGTCAAGGAAATTGATATTCCGGACGGTCTCGAAAACGTCATGGTGTGCGACTTCATTCTAGACAACAAAAATTGGGACATCCCGAAACTTCAAGAGCTTCTGCCGGAGGAGACGGTTGATTCCATCCGGACTGTGGCTATCCCAGTTAGTAGACAAACCAGCGACAGCATCGGTTGGCCGAAGGGATATATATATATATATATATATATATATATATATATATATATATATATATATAGGCTAATTTTCTGGTGCACGCTACTCTTAAAGTGTGAACCGTGTGGACTGATCTGGAGCATTGGTTTTTTGCATCCAATCACCCAAAATAACCGTACATCCCTTATGGCGCACAAGCCCCCATGTTGCACACGGGGCATTTTTGGTATTCCCTTTTGTTGTTCAGTTTGCGTAGGAATTGAATTCTGTTACTCACGTTGGTTCCCCCGTCTATCAAGTCTCGACTTTTGGATAATGGTAACGCACCCAGACTCCTCCCCGGCTTACGCTACCAGACTACACCACGATTCCAGTACAATGGCGACGCACGGTGAAGAAATTCCGGCGGTTGCTGCGGCGGGGCATGCGGCTACAGGTTCCGGTACCCCCCCCCCCCCTCTCTGTTTTCTTTATTGTACTGTTATTTTTATTTTTGCCGCCATTCGGTATCACGTCCATGGACTGCCGGAGTGCACATCTGCTTTGGTATGCGCCATGGTTGTGCTTTTTTTTTTTTTTCCGATTTTTTTTTTTTTTTTTTTTTTGTTTTTTTTGTTTTTTTGTTTTTAGGTTGTTAGTTGACAAGGCAGTAAAGTTCCGGACAGTTCCACCATTTTTCTGGGATGAGTGCACCCAGGGCATGCCAATTTTGCTAAAGCTTTGCTATGGTTTGCTTCATTAGCATGCAGAATACTTTGAGGCAATTGTAGTGTTGGGCCCAGGTTGAGGGGAGACTGCAACATAATAGCACCACAAATTTTAAGGACTTGAAAAAGAAAGTAAGCTTCTACTCATAATTTTAAGCACTAGCAAAGCAGGGTCAGTGAATTCTAATTCACCTTGAATGCATGTTGATAAACAATGTTACTGTGCACCAATTGCAGGGTTACTTGGCGATGATTTAGGTTCCAGAGATGTACCGCACAACACAACAAGGTTTAATACTACCGCTAAACAATACTGGATACCCAATGTGGAGCCTCACCTGGTGCCAACAGTTGGGCAGCGCTTCAACTCCTTAGACGAAGGAATCAAATTTTACAAGACGTACGGACGAGCCGGTGACATCAGGCAAAGTAGTGTTAAGCGAGACCGTGGTGGTGAAATTTTTAACCGTCATTTAGTATGCAGCAGACAAGGGGCGAAAGGAGGTGGCAGGAGCAAACCCATACTAGCCATTAGTGCTAGCAGTGGCAGTAACAAGCAACGACAGAGACGGATTTCTAATAGAGTGGGATGCCGTGCTAAGCTTGGATTTAAGAAAGAAAGTACTGGAGAGTTTATGGTATCTATATTTGTCGAGGAACACAACCATAGCTTGTGCTCCGAGGGTGCTAAATTATTTATGTGGGGTAACCGAAAGCTTACTGTGGCCCAACAAGCATTTTTAGCAAATTGCGTTAAGGCCAATGTTGGTTTTTCCACCGGGTTTAAGTTATGTAAGGAGGTGACCGGTTCGTTTGAGAATGTCGGTGCAACGGACATGGAGTTCCATAATTTCAAACGAGACTTGCAAAAATATGTTGATGTGGTTGATGGTCAGATGATTATTGAGCGGTTGAAAACAAAAAAGGAAGTCTGCGACAGCTTCTTTTTCGATTACCATCTCGACGAAGAAAATCGGCTCGCACGACTTTTTTGGGCAGACCCTATCGGTAGGGGTAGTTTTTCTTGTTACGGCGATGTGATGTCGTTCGATGCCACGTACAGCACGAACAGGTCTGTTGCGGCTTCCATTTAATGATGTAGTAACAGATTTCCCCTATTATTATTATGTGCGTTTGTTTTTGAATTGCTTAACTATTAATTTTTGTTATGTAATGCAGATATAGTTTGGTGTTTGTGCCATTTACTGGAGTAGACAACTACAAGCGTTGCATTACTTTCGCCGCCGGGTTAATCACTAGAGAGGACGTGGAATCGTATAGTTGGCTGCTAGAGAGGTTCATCACTGCAATGGGAAGGCCTCCTCTATATGCTGTCACCGATCAGGACCCAGCTATGAAGATTGCTATGGACGGGGTCATACCTGAGTGTCGTCACCGTTACTGTATGTGGCACATTATGATGAAGGTTAGTGAAAAAGTCGGGCCGGAGTTAGCAAAGAACGAGATGTTCCGCAATAGTTTGAATGATATTGTTTGGAACGAAAGGATCTCTATCGGTGATTTCGAAGAGCAATGGCAATTGCTAATGGAGAAACACAACTTGACTGAGCACCGATGGTTTCGTAAATTATTTGCAGAAAGGGAGCATTGGATTCCTGCGTTTTTTTCTGATTTGGCATTGAGTGGATTGTTACGCACCACATCCCGGTCTGAGGCACAGAACAGCGTTTATGGGAAGTTCACCCGCCCCCATTCTAGTTTGGTTGAGTTTTACATCCAATTCGAGAGTGCGTTTGAAACTCAGCACCACAAGCAAACGAAATTGGATGCTCAGTGCGAGGGGTACTTGCCCGACTTTAAAACTCCTCTGGCATTAGAGCGACAAGTGGCACAGTTGTTCACACTCGCAATCTTCTACGATATGCAACAAGAGATTGAAGCTGCCTGTTTCTACTGTGAAGTTGTAGGTATCCGTGAAGATGGCGGTGATATTTTTTATGAAATTAAAGATGATCCTGCCGCCACATACACTGTACGCTACACACCGGACGGGTCTAGTACTTTATGCAGCTGCAAGATGTTCCAACGAATGGGGTTGATTTGTCGGCATATGTTTTTGGTGTTTAAGAGTGCACACCTAGAGCAGGTACCACCCCAGTACATCGTGGATCGTTGGCGCAAACACTTGGGTTGCAGTGCATGTAGATGGCGACATCCAAGCGGACACATCCCCAAATCAGGAGCAACAGAATTGTGGTCTGAGATCAACACATGCGTAGGGCTAGTGGGGGAAAGCACAGAGCGATAAGCCCGAATGGTGCAGGTACTGAAAGAGCTAAGCGCAGAATTTGCAAGTGACGGTACGAGCACTGGGGCGG